CGCAAGCTGCGGTACACGCACCACGAGAAAAAGAATGGTCGCAGCAGTTCCGGGGCGCTGCGGGGGGTCTGCTCCTGCGCCGAAGGTAGGTGTTGGCTCCCCAAAAAATGGCCGTGGCCACCTCTCTGCCCTCCCCTTACCCTCTTTGTCTCCCCAGGCAAGCCCTGCGACCCCGCTGACCGGCAATTCAACACCCTCATCCCCTGGTGCCTGCCCCATACTGGCAACCGGCACAACCACTGGGCCGGGCTTTATGGGCGCCTGGAGTGGGACGGCTTCTTCAGCACCACCGTCACCAACCCTGAGCCCATGGGCAAGCAGGTGGGAGCCACCAGATCCATCCCCTCTGCCAAGGAAGGGCAGGCGTTGCCCATGGCCATGCCCAATGGCTGCCGCCATCCCAACCCGTTGGCTTTATTTGCTGCCGTAGGGTCGGGTCCTGCACCCGGAGCAGCACCGGGTGGTGAGTGTGAGGGAGTGCGCCCGCTCCCAGGGCTTCCCCGATACCTATCGCCTCTTTGGGAACATCCTCGACAAGCACAGACAGGTACGTGGTGACCCCTCGCCGGCGGCAAACCCCTTCATTGGCGCCATCCCCTTGCCGGCGGCGTGGCGGAGCCGGTGCCCAGCGTAACCCCTCCCTCTGTCGCAGGTCGGTAACGCAGTGCCTCCTCCTCTAGCCAAAGCCATCGGGCTGGAGATCAAGTCGTGTGTGTTGGCGAAGCTGAGAGAAGACACGGCGGGTAGGTGCTGTGCCGGGAGTCACCGATGCCATCGTCCCCGCCCTGCGCCAAGGGCGGGGGGTGTGTGTGTGTCGGAAATGCCATCCCCGACCTCAGCCCTCCCTTGGGTGGCGAGGGGGGGGTCCTGGTTTAAGGCTGGGGGCTGGGGGGTCCATCCTGCCCCCCATCCCCGGGGTTTGGGGATGGCGGCGTCACCCTCTCTTCTCTCCCCAGAGACCAGCGCCCCGGAGAAGATGGAGAACATGGAAACCGCCGACTGACGTGCGGCCTCTCCTCCGGCACCTGGACTCCCAAACATGCACTGATTTATTTTAACACCCTTTTTTTTGTTTGTTTTTTGTTTGTTGTTTATTTGGTTTTTTTGTTTTTTGGTTTTGGTTTTTTTTTGGCTTTTTTTTTTGGTTGGTTTTTTTTTTTTTTTTTTTTGTTTTTAGTCTTGTTTTTAAATTCCTGGCCCACGGGGGACCTGCTGTGGCCAGTGTCCCCCCCTGCCCCTTCCCTGGCCCTCCTCGCGTCTGTCTCCCGGCCGGCCCCCC